CTGGTACTTGCGCTTCCCTGCATTGAAGGATTCGATGTACTCCACGTTGGACTTGAAGATCCTGAGACGCTGCTCCTTCTCGGCAGCGTCCTTGTACGCGCGCCCATGCCGCGCCATCCACTCGACGTGCCTCTCCGCCATGGATGCATCCCCGAGCTCGGCCGCTGCTGGGGAACAAGCCCCGAGACCCAGCGCCAACAAGGCCATCCACAAACATACCAGCGAAGCCATGGCGCTGTTAAACGGAATCGATCGGTCAGAACTATATATCTATGTATGAATGTATGTATATATATATATATATATATATAGAGAGAGAGAGAGAGAGAGAGAGAGAGAGAGAGAGAACCGAGACATCGATGTTACCGTCCGCAAAACGTTTTCGATTGGATTCGTCGAGCGTTGATGACTGGTTCGATGAGTTGTTGTTGGGGAGCGGAGGCCGACAGCCGATGCCTTGTGCCGGCTCATCGGGTGCCCCGCTTGCTTGTCACCTTCGATGAAGGGGGTTTCCCAGCCGTCGTGTGGCGTGCATCTCTAAACGTATCGACAACAAAGCGATGCACGGCTATTACGTTCGAACAAAATGCATACGCTCGTCGACAATTTAGATGATTCGGATTGGTATCTGTTTGATGTTTTTATTCATTACTGATACGATACGGGTAATACGATACGTGCCCATTCAGTCAACTAACTTATCGGTGGGGGCCCAATCCCATGAGGTCCGCACACCCTAATGCTGGCATATATGTATGCTCACTCGATGTCGGGATCAGAACGAGTCGTCATATTGTAACCGCAGGCTTCACGATTCGATGGCGTATGATCTCACAACATATTGTTGTTTTAGGTTATCAACGGCCTCCATCTCTATCCTCTTAAATCATATGAGAAATTAAAGATGATGGAAACAACGCAACGACAAGATTAAGACCTGAAAATATTAACCCACGGTAACGAATATCGTATGATCGTCATGTAGAATCAATCGATTCACGATGTGTAATCAATTCACCTGACAATTAAACTTTTTCCTAAAGTTCTTATACTTCGATTGTTATTTTATCCTGAATCAATAATTCTTCTTAATCTACTCTACTGGGCTCATATCTATTAATATAGCCACTCTAACTCCGTTCGAGCTATTCAAAGATAGTAATTATGCATTCTACCAATCTTCTCTTTAAATATGATTTACTGAGCTACGTTTGATGACTCCCTCAATTGTCTACAAAAAAATATTCAAATACTAGGAGATCCACTATTAATGACAAATTATAATCATAAATTATAATTACGTTAACATCGTCTTATTTTGTAAGTCATTCAAGCTTCGGTTACTAGTTCTATAGCACCACTAATCTCTTCATGCAACACTATAACAAAAATATAATCCAAGTTATAAACCACTATTGTCAATCTCTCTCGTACTCGAATATTAAATTTGTCTATCCAGTTTGATAAAAATAATTAAAAAATACTATTACTAATTATATATATAATATAATAGTTATTATAAATGGGCCTTAATAGGTCATCCCTTGAGTGATGACGATGTCATTATTCATAATTACAATGGTATAGGAGATGAATATAAAGAGTTGGCGGTAATTATTCAGGCACGTGACTCACTAATATCATTTGAAAAACTATATGATAAGTTGATTTACCATGAAACAAACCTAAAATGAAAATAGAAGAAGATGAGATCAACCATTACAGCTCCGTTCAATAAAAAAATCTAAATAAAATAATCAAAATAATAAGAACTTCAATAAAGGATCGAACAAGATACCTCGTGGATATATGAGTAACACAAAGCCATCATCCTTTATTATATTATTAACTCTCTAACTATGATGACAACTTCAATCCGAACAACTTAAGAAATAACTTCAATAATAATCATTATAACTATTAATAGTTCTAGCATCATAACAATAACAACTAATAAAATTTCATCTACCAGCTTTGTGATAAAATTGAATACATAATAAAAGTTTATCGATCTTGACCCAAGCCTATTGCTACATCCAACTGATCTCAAGTAAACATCATGACTATTCTTATTATTCATCCAAATAATTGGATTATTAACTCTAGTACTTTTCATCATATCACTTTTGATCTATAAAATTTATCCATTCATATCAACTATAGAGGCAGTAAAGATATCATCATTAATGACAGTAATGAAATCCCTATCAATCATATTGATTCTATAATATTTAATTCATAAATAAATACTTTTACACTCGATAATATTTTATTTCTATCTCATATCAAAAGAAATCTTATTTTTATCTCTTAATTTTATAAATAAAATATTATTTTTTTATTTGTTTCTTATAAAGTATCAAAGCAAGGGAGCATCCTTGGTCCGAGACTAAAATAAAGATAGCATCTATGCATAGTCATCATATTTATAAATTACTTAGCAAATCACTCTTGCTTCAATTACTACTCCAATCGATATGTGACATTACCCGGTCATATGTCATTCTCCATTCAATAATAGCTAATTTCTTATTACTTCTTTTTAACTTATAAATCAAGTTGAATTATAACTCAGTATGATACTTGTCTTAGTAATAAAAGTTTCATACTACCTCTTGGAACATCTTCCATAACTCATTTCAACTAGACATCAATGTAAATATATATAGATCTGTCCTCATTTGATAATTTCAAATTTTATATTATTTTCATATATTATTTTACTAAATATATATGGATCTATCCTTTTAAAAATAGATATGAAGTCATCACAATCTTTACTTGTTTTAGAAAAGTGATAAAAAATTTTGTCTAGTCTACCATTAAAATAATTTACTTTGATGAAAAAAAGTAAAATCTAAGCTCTAATAACTTATCTCTCGTTATATGATATACAATATCTTAAGTCACCATCGCATATATCTCAACTAATTAGCTATGTTGAATGAAAGCACCGACACATAGTTGAAATTGATCTCACCCTCCTACATCAATCTTCAACATTACTAGCCTTAGTCAACATCCTTTCAAACTATATCTACCTCATTAACTGCATGACTTTGTTAAACGAAAGCACCGACACATAATTAAAACTAGTCTCATCCTTCTTCACTAAGCCTCCATGCTACTAATCTTGTGGTTAGTAGCCTTTCAAATTATGGTTCATTTTATTAACTGTATGCTTCTCCTAATCCTATAATACTAACTACTATTTGAAAAACTATTTCATAAAATCACAAACATTCAAAAATTTAAAGTATTTAATTATTTATATTTTCTCTTGTTATGCCCGTATGTTTCATACAAGTTAACACCAAGATCTAAACCTTGCATCTTTATTTGGTACTCTCTTGAACATAATGCTTTTTAGTACTGTGATTCTCAAACTCAATAGATTTTTGTATCACATCATATTATTTTTGTTGAGTCTACATTTTCCTTATAAAATCTTACTCATTTAGCAACGCAAGTCATTATAACAACCATCCATCATTAGGTTTATTTGAGTATACCTCAAACCCCTCTCAAGTGCACCTTTCACCACATCAACCAATAATTTCTAGTAGACACGTACTATCTTGTTTCGCTAGTTCAATAACACCTTATTCGCTATGTAAATTCTTCATCTATTTGTCTATCAACTCACTCTATAATGCTCGATGAAGCAATACCCTTGAGATCATAAATGATGTCTTTATTCTCTTATCAGTTAAGTAACATTGAAGTGCATCAACCTAATCAGGTACGTGTCACTAACTCTTCATTAATTATCATACATTCAATATAATCTAATAATACCACTTAGCCTAGACATCACATAACAATATGCTCCAAAAATGATATCTTCAAATCACGTTAAATTTTTAATCTTCATGTTATAACAAGCTCTTCACGTAATCTTACTGAACCCACAAGTATCTCTCAATCCCAAAAATCTCTACGCTAACACAAAGCCATGTGTGAAGAATATGATGTCCTATTTAATAATATCACATGAACCCTTGTATATCTCATTTTATACAAAATATCATTAGATACAAGTTGATCTTTCAAATTAAGTGATACTCATATGAGTCCATTACCATATACAAAGGACGTTTATTGGTCAAAGAGCTTCATCAATAATTAGGTATTGATTTAACAGAGACATTCAATCCAATTATTAAATCAATGATAATTCAACTCATCCTGAGCTTAACTATCGCTCAAAATTCACATGTACACTAATTAGATACTAATAATGCTTCTTACAAGGGGTCCTAATTGAATATATCTTTATGCAGCAACCCTTTGTCTTCATCCACCCCTTAATATCGAAATCATGTTTGTAAACTACAAAAAAATATTTATAGATTTCGTTAGGTTCTAAAAGCTTGGTATATTTTAATTTGACTCGTTTTTTATATCAACAAGCTTTGTCAACTCTAAATCTAATACATCTTTATTCCTACAATAATAAAACCAATATACTATATATCTATTTGTCTATGTGAATGGTATTATCATTATATGTAATAATTCTTTAGAGATCAAGTAATTGATAGATTAATTCATATTTTTTAAATTTTTTATCTTAAAAAAATATTTTATCTTAAAAAATAAGATATATTATACATATGATTAGATTTTATCGATCAATAAAAAAAATCTAATCATGATAAAATTCCTTACGAGATTAGAATATATAAATAGAATCTCATAATAATCATGTGAAAGATAAAAAAAGGTAAGAAGGTAAATCAAATCTAAAGATAAGCAAGTAAATCAAATCTATATTATTATATATTTTGGCTCCGACGATGTACTTACAAATTTTTAAATAATATAAAAATACATCATAAATTTAATTTATTATTATTTTATTTTATTTTTAATATTAATTTTTTTTTTATAATACTAATATATTATGATTTTTATGCTCATTTTACCTTCATAAATAAAATCATTCCTATATGAGTTCCTTCACTTGTACTTTCTTATGCATTTAATTATTTGAAATCAGTTAATAGGATGGGATGTGACAGGATAAGACTCTTATGTAATATTACAAGCGATCTGAGGGCATGAACATAAAAAAGAGTACACAATAATAGACATGACACCAATTTATTCTCGTGTTCCCAACCACACCTCCTTCCACGGGTACGTTATTCTTCATGCGCTTCTTCGTTAGCGGGTCCCACTGCCTCTCCCATTCTTAGCCTTCCACGCAAGCCAACCTCCTCCGGGCTAGCCTGTTCCGGCGGATCACGAGAAAGCTTGATGTCTCTCTCTCTCTCTCTCTCACTGCGACTTTTGGTGCTTCACTCGCTCGGCCTCCGCCTCCGCCTCCCCCTCCCTGCCGGCGTCAGGTGTCTCTTCGTAAGGCCCCGCCAGCTGGGCATCCTCCGGCCGGCCGGCGACGTAGTCGATGAGCTCCTCCCCGGATGTCTCGCCCGGGGGTGGGGAGATCCGGAGGAGGACGGCGACGGCGACGAGCAGGAAGGCGGTGGAGACGAGGAGCGGCCAGAAGAAGCCCGCCACGGCGGAGAAGCTGGGGCCGACGCTGAGGAGGGAGACGACCGCGGCGGCGAGGGCGGCGGTGAGGGCCAGCTGGGCCCGGTGCTCCACCACCGCTTGCATCAGCTTCTCCTGGATCGCCATGGGGAACCAACGAGCTCGACCAAGCCCAGGCGAACTCGTCTTATAGAAGGAAGAGAGATGGGTGGGGGGGCTTCGACGCTCGCAGCCGATTCCCTTCCGCTGCCCAACGTTTTGTTTTCTTTCGATTCTTTTTCCGTTTGTGCTTTTCTGGGTTTCAGAGGCGGGGCACGTACTTGGAATGTAAAATTCCCAAGCTACCCTTTAATGACCGTTGCATGATGGGGATATGTTCGGGGACAGGGTTGGCATTTCGGCATTCGTCGAGGACAGAGATGGGAGAGCAAGCTTTCGGCCACCGTGTCGTGTCGGCCACTTTTGGCATCGCAACTCGACGATCTGAAATCGGGTGAGGCCATCACATGCGGGGTCGGTCCAATCTGGACCGTCAGGTCCCGATCCGACGGTGATCTCTTTCTTCGCAGGTGGCCGTCTTTACGTCATCAGAAGGCCATGACAGAGGCTCGCTTTCGGTGTGTTGATCCCTCCGTCCCTCCCATGTCAAGCATAGGTTTTTGAGACCCAGGCAACAGCAGTAGCTACAAAGGGAAAGAAAGCAAAATTAATCGGTGCTTATATAACCAAATTAAATGCGATAGGCTATGCCTAAGCTATCTCCATGAACAGGAAATCAAGCTATACTTATTTGTCCTCGTTCCGTACACAATCTATGCTTCTTGGGGTCCTTGACGACTAGGCGAGTTGAATTCTCTTCTTGCTCGTGGACGAACCAGGAGGCCTCCATCCTATCACAAGCAAACCAATAATTCAGTTATCATGTTCTCCAACCTGTGCGGTTTAACCAAGGGGAACTCGAGGAGGATGATGATGAACGATGACCTCTCTGTTTCTCTGACATACTGCACGGTGCCGTTCATGATCTTGACGAGCTTTTGGCTGACGTAGAGCCCGTGGCCTCCTCTTGAGATGCCCTGGCTGTGCTGGAACATCTCCTGCACCAGAGCCTCTGGGATTCCCGGTGCTGGGTCGATGATCCTGAAAACAAGAGACATTGATGCAGGTGATCTTAGTTTCGCAACTTGGCACCAAGTTACTTCATACCATGAAAAGGATTGCATTCAGGAATGCATCAAATCAATTCTACTGAATTGTTCATGTAAACAGCAAAAATTCCTCTTTGGAACATAAAATAAACAATTAATACCACATTATAATAGAGCATTTCATTTTTGGAGATTTTTCAGCATCACTTCTCGAAATTATATTACCTGAATTCGATATGAACTATCTGCACTCCGGTCACCGTGAGTTCCTTTCTCGCAACAGCCTGGAGTAAGATTGATCCCTGGGACACCGGGGCAAACTGAAGAGCACTTGACAAGAAGTCTGCTAGAATCTGCTGCAGCCTCAAGTTATCCCCATACAAATGCATAGAAGAAACTTCTGCAGACCAATCTTGAAGAAGCACCACCTGCCGTTCCCTGCTTAGAGTCATTACTTGGTTTATGACCACATCCAGTGTTTCCCCGAGATGAAACTCTACTGAGTCCAGCTCCATATAGCTGTTCGGAAGTCATGAATGTTAATAGGAGCCTATACACATCAAGGGCCAAGAGGAAACAAAATAGCATGAAATCATCAATGTCAAAAGCCAGCAAACTGTCTGTGAAGATTCTCAGGCTAGCATCTGTCACTTTCTAAAGAATTTTTATAGGTAATTGTTAATGTTTCAAAAACTGATAATTCATTTTGCGACAAGATTATATGAGACACAAAATAAAATTTCTAGTGATTGATCAATTCCAATATCCATGGCTTCGACGTACACAGATCTTTTTCATTGGCAATGTTCAAAGTCCGCTTTGCAAAACTATTTTCATGCATATAGATGTAATTCATGTGTGGTTACTCCCAAACCGGATTGCAAACATATTTAGCTAAAGCCTAACAACTTTAGAGAGTAGATTGCATAGATTACTCCTGCAACTTATAATGGTTCTCGATTAGGTCCTGGAAGTCTTCTTACTGATGTTGTTTTGGCAATTAAACATCATCAGATGACTGATGTATATGCTAACAATTGGAATCTGGTTACATGGACCATAAGAAAGGTACTAACAAAAACCTATTTTATTCTTGTTCTCTAAATGGACTTCACATGCTTCTGAATAGATGAATGGCATATTTGGAATGTAAGTATAAATTTCTCTGAAGAATTTTTATTATAATCGAGAGCAATCTAGCCAATATGATTTCCTCAACCATATCAATAGATGAATTTCCACCAAAAAACAAAATTAAGAAATGAGACATACCACTGTTCAATGCTTTCTAGATCCATGCCGTCTAATATCTTTGCCAACGGTTCTTGACAGAGGGCCTTTCTCCTAAGAAGTTGCTTCTGCTCATCGGTTAAGTCAGTTGTCTCCATCAAGTCTTGCATAAATGTAATTCCATTTAGTGAGTTCCTAATTTCTTGACGAAGGTAAGCTAGTTCCCTGAGACTGTTGGTCGCAACCTGTTCAGACATTTTCTGTACTTGCAAGGAATGTTGAAGCTCTGGACTAGCGACATGCAAAAAGCATAATGTCCCAGCGATTTTCCCCTCAGAATTCATCCTCTTGTTCACAGAAATTAATGCTTCAACATACTTACCATTAATGCCAAAAAAAACCAAATATGAACTTATTGTCATCTTCGCCTGCCATTACATCATTCAAGACTATTTTTAGCTTGGTCAATGCATCATGATCCTTGACCTGGTAGCCAAAACCATGATGGCAGAACAACTCGCCAACAAGCATCTTATCAATTGCACCCCTCCTCTTTGTGCCGGATACCTTTTCCATTGCTGAATTCCATTCAGAACAGCAACCAGACTCATTGATTATAAAAATAGGAGGGATGAGCTTGCTTGGATTCCGCACTACTGCAACATAATCATTTTGAATGCGGGTGTTCTTATCCATCATCAGTTTCTGCCTGGTCACATCTTGTCCAACAAAGCAAACACCGACGATGTTATCCTTCATGTCATGGCTGTAGCAAGAATTTACAACTAAGATTATAGAGCTATTACTGTCTTGATTGCTGAATGACTTCAATTTAATCTCAATATTTTTCTCTCCCTTTCCTGCCATTAGCAGCAACAAGATATGCTTGAGGCCAAATGGAAATGGATCCTTTGGTTTGTTTGAAATTGACTTTGTAAACAAATGACATGAAAAACACGATATGAAGAATATGCTCACCTCGCAAAGCCAATTGCAGCACTTTTTTTGCCACCTCGACTGAATCATCCTCGACAAGATCAATCAGAGGCATCCCAATAGCTTCTTGCACGGGTAAACCAGTCAAATCTTCTGCTTTGCTATTCCAACCATTTATGTTGCCTGATGCATCAATAGCCCAAATGGGCACACTTGTTGTTTTGATAAGACGAACCATTTCAATTGTAATGGTGTGCAGTTCTTGTCATCTTTATCAACGGGTTCATGTTTAGCCCCACCCCACTTGGTCTCCTTTGTGGTGTGTGACCGGAACCAAAAGATAAAATCCCTGGAAGTAATCTTAATTGCAGCCATGCCACAGACTGCATCTCCGAGTTCAGCAGCTCCTGGATAACCTGCTTCTGTCATGCTGTCGGTACTTAAGCCGGTAGAGCCATCATGGTACTCCATAAGCCATGTGACAATATCCCTTATCTGCAACTCGGTAGGTGTCATTCCAAGCAGCCAAACCTGGTTTCGGAAATATAGAGCTGCACCATCAGACTTCACAAGATCCATAACGTTTGGTGACTGGGTGAAGATACCGATTGGTGCATCATGAAGAAGCATATCGCAATGAAGAGTCTGTGTTCATAGAATATGCTTCTCCTTAGTTTGCGCTGCAAGCTCAACCTCTTTATTCAGCTGCACCCCAAATACGTGCATAAGAAATTCACAGGCATATCTAAGCGGGAAAGGGACAAGCATTGGACTGGTGTGATGGTACACCACCAGGCTCCAAAGCTTCTGCCCTTTCTGCTGCTGATCACCACCACTTGCTTCGTCTTTGTGCTCACAGATCGTGATGGACATCACAAGAGAAGCAGTCGAACCCATATTTGCCATGTACTGAGCATGGCAACCATGGGGAGCTCTTAAGGTAGACCCACATAAGCTGAGAGGCTGACTCAATCTCTTCTCCTGGATCACTTGAACCGGGGAAGCAGAGCAATCGCATATCATCCTAACCTTATTCTTCGTGAAGAGAAACCGTGAGGCCTGCGGGATGTCAGTGGCAGGGTAGTGCAAGCCAAGATAAGGCTCTAGATCTGATTTCCTGCACTCAGCTATAACTTCACCATGCTCATCTTCATGGAATTTGTATGCCATCACCCTATCATAGCCCGTAATATCGCTCACTTCACGAACCAAAACATCACACAACAGGGAGATGTTCCCGCTGGGCAAGCACTGCAACCTTGAAATGGCCTTAGCTGCTAATTTGTACGATTTCAGTGCTCCAGCTGCCGTCACTGGCACATCGACAGGGTTCACAGGCTCCAGGTCTATAACCAATCCCACATCAATGTGGTGCATGATGGCGTAGAAGGGCTTACCCGAGCTCCTGCAGTGTACCAGTATGGGGTTGAGGAGATTCACTTCACGAAAACTAGCAGCCTTTTACAGTGCCACCGAGCTCGGAGATCGGAATAGACTTCGGACATCCATCCCGATTGTCAAGGTCTCCCGCTGCTCCATGCTGGGGATGGCATGTGGTGCCAAGTCCAGCATCTCAGGCACATTCTCGCTGTAGGCAATTTAATTATGGCAAACATCTGATCTTCGATGGCCAGCAGGCACCCAAAAGGCTGAATGAACTTCCCGCGCTGCATTGTCTGGAGGTTGGTGGAGACCACAGAGGAAGACACGCCACTGCTGTCGGTGCCGCTCAACCGGTTGGCGGTGCCGATGGAGGCAGCATAATCGAACGGCCGATCAGAGTCCTCGAAGTCGGCATGGAGCTTGGCATCCAAGCTGGTCGGGGCGACCACACGAGCGCTGTTCTTGGAGCGCGCACCAAGCTGCTTCTGGAGCAGCTCGCTCTGTTGTGTTGAATCTCGGATTTTGATGATG